CATCAGGCTGTTCTGAGGCCGATCTCCGGTAGCGCTGGACGAGCGCCCGTTGCATGCTCGTGCGTCGCCTGCAGCCTCGCCGCCGACACATCGCAACTCATCGGCCGCGAGGCGTCCGTGTCAGAACTTCTTCAGCGGGTGCCGGCTCTGCATCCTGGTCTTAACTCCGAGCGCTGTGTATTTGTGATGGGAAGCCGCCGGTGCGGAAAACGGCCGTCCGGCGTGCGACGAACCGGAAGAGCCCATCGGCGACGCCGGCGACGTGAGCGCCGAGCCGAGCGGGACGAGCCGCTCTCGGCCGCCGCTGATCACCGTCGGCCGGGGCGCCTCCCAGCGGCCGATCAGGGCCCGCCGAAGCCGCCGCACCCGGCTCACCCGGTGACCAACGGCGCCCTGACATCACCACTGCAAGAGCCCTTTTTCGACAGGATGGTGGCGGCGCGCGGTTGAACGTCGCCCGCGATTTTCCAGCCAGTCTGTTCCAGTCGGTGTTCTTTACGCGCTTCGTTCAAACGCCGGGAGCTTCTGCGCAATTACCGACGGCGAGCTATGTAACCGGGCGCGGAAGGTAGGCGGCATGGTTAACAATACTGCACAGGCGGTGAAGTTCGCGGCAGAATTTGCTCACAGTGTTCGTATGATTGCGCTGCCGGCGCCTGTCGGGCCGGCGCGGCGGGCCACTGCGATTCCCAGGACCCGCCGAGCGGACCCTCCCGTGAGCCGTAGAACAGACGAAGGGAAAGTTAACGGGCCTCCGGGAGTTCAGGCGGTAGCTCCTGGCCATTGACTGTATTCCTGCGTTCGAAGCACTCAGCCTTATTCCATAAGCACGGCCGCTGCTGGGGCTGGTCGAAGGTCATGGCCTGTCGATTTGGCTGATTTGTTGTTTGCGGCGCGCAGCTTTGGTGCCGCCGTGCCAAAGTCACTGGCGTGGCCTTCGCTAAGAATCTCTCAGTTCAAACCCCGTATCAAAGAACAGCCGTCACATCCGTGCGATCGTGTCGACAAACAACTCTGGACGGCGGGCAACGGGATCCACGTTGCGCGATCCGGCATCGGGTCGCTACACAAACAGGATGGTCGGGACGGCTTGCAGTGGCGAGCAGTTGCAGTCAGCCGGTAGCCGAAGCTCTCGGGCACGGCTTGCAGCGGGGAATAGCTGCATTGAGCCGGTATCCGAAGCTCTCAAAGACGGTTTGCTGTGGGGAACAGCTGCAGTGAGCCGGTAGCCGAGGCTCTCGGAGGAGGCTTGCTGTGGGGAACAGCTGCAGTGAGCCGGTAGCCGAAGCTCTCGGACACGGTTTGCAGCGGGGAGCAGCTACAGTGAGAAGGTGGCCGAAGCTCTCGGACACGGCTTGCTGTGGGGAACAGCTGCAGTGAGCCGGTAGCCGAAGCTCTCGGACACGGTTTGCAGCGGGGAGTAGCTACAGTGAGCCGGTAGCCGAGGCTCTCGGCTGTCGTGCAGAGACACACCGGAGAATGCGCCGAAGCTCAAACCCGTTGCGCTGGTAGGAAACGAGTTGCAACCACTTGCAGTGCATCGAACGTCGTGATGATGGATTCCGAAGCGCTCTTTCAGCGTTCTTTAGATATATTACGTTCTCGGGCCAAATGGAATCACGTTTCGCCCGGCACGTGCAGAGCTCTGGCAAGGAGCAAAACTAATATCTATCTTGACCCGCTGCAGCACATCACTTCGCATCGCATCGGTCATCGCATCGCACCACGAACAGGTCCTCCTGCAGGACGCACGACGGAGCCGTGACGGGCCTGCAAGCCTGAGCGGCGCACGTCGGGGCGCGAGACGGCCAGTTCGCGCCAAGTTCCAGCTCTAATCTGGCGCGCCGGCTCGACGCCGGTCCATCGTCGGCGCGCCATTGTTCAAAGTTCCATTGGCGTTTCGTGAATTATGGAGGGTATGAGCCGGGTCGGCGTTGGCCGAGAATGCGGCGAGACTGCGCGCTTTGCTGGCTGCGGGACTCAGCACGTCGTGGCACTGGGAGACCCAGGTCGACACCTGCCGCTCATATCGGCACACACCGACTCATGGAACATTTGGTGGGCGCAGCCAAAAGAAAAAGGCGTAGTTGTATTGTTCACCCCTAATTACGGCCGGGCACAAGGTGTATGATCGATGATCTCAGGTTTTTGTGAGGCAAACCATGTCGTAGAAGTCTTACCCAGCCAATGTTACAAGGGTATGCATTTATGCCAAGAAAGCTCAAACACTACATGCTGGCGGATACTAAGCATCATGTAAACGTTCGCCTTCAAGGCTACCTGATGCTGAGGATGGATTGTCATGGAGAACATCAAGTACCATTCTTTTCACTTCGCAGTACCGCGCATGTTGTGGTACTTTTGCCGAATATTAGTTAAGTAAGCGACTTGGAATTGATAACCAAGGTTTAATATGGGATGTGTTATTCGCCCTGCCACTGGCGCCGTACTTGATTTCGATCTACATAAATCTGACGCACGCAATACTTCATGGCCGACGTATGCGAAGATTTATTGATATCCCATACAGCCGTTTTAGAGTATGGCAGTGAAAGCCGTTGGATATCCCACGTTATTTCGAAATTGCGTAAGGAAAACTACACATCCCATTTGTAGTACAAACAACGCACGTCGCCGACCACTCACACAACAATGCGTCGAAACTTTTTAGATGCAGCAGTGGCGCCATTTGTGTATATAAACAGGTTTCGCCTGCCACTTTATCGCCTGCGGCAAGCGGTTTATCTTCATCACCGGCCGCCGCCGGGGATGTGAGGAAGCCCCGCGCTCCGCCGGACGACCGACTGGCCATCTTCAAAGGCCGCCAGCTCCCGGGGGCGCAGTCTGCGGCGAACAGAGCGCCATCCGGCGCACATTGTGTGTTTGTCGGGCGGTGGGGAAGCGCTGCTGATCCGCCGCAGCCCACTGCGGTCTCCCCCGGCGGCGGCGGCGGCGGACACGCACCGCGCGCCGAGCCGCGCCCGGCCGGCCGAGCCGCTGCGGCTCAATCACGCCGCCCCCCGCCGCCGACGCCGGTCATTTCAGCCGCGGCGGACCTCTAGCACACGCCGTCTGAGGACGTGCCATGCGGCGAATGCGACGCAGGTGGCGCCCGTTGGCCCGTCAATCTGTCGGGCGGAGGGGGTGGCGCCCCCCGGCAGTCGGTCAGAGCGATAGGCCGCGGTCCGTGTCAGCACGAGCGGAGCGGCGTACAGACCCGGCAAGTGGCCTCCGTCCGGGCCGTTTGCAAGCGATCCTGCAGGACGCATAGCCACCTGAGAACGGTGGCTCACCGCAGTGTGTGGAGTGCCCGTGTCCTCGTCGGCCCGACGCTGACCCGGCGGCCAGGAGCCGCTGTCCGGCGACCTCTGAGCGGTGACCCGGTCCGGCCGACCATTACTCATCTCTCGGCGGCGTTTTTCGTCGGCGGTGCCGCGCCCGCACGCGTTCCGTCTCGTTCCGGGCCGCCGTCGGCACGCCTGAGCTGCGCGGGCACTGCGTCACCGTCGTCGCCAGTGTCCGGCCGGCGGCGCGGTCAGATAGTCCGGCCGCCGGTCCAACGCCGACCGGCCTTTGTCGTCCCCCGGCCGCCCGATGACGGCCGGCGGTGCCGAATGGCGGCGGATGATGGACCGACATCGAATAGGGGCGACCGCCGCCAGATACGACGAGCTCTTTCGGAAATATTACCGGGCCGGAAAGTCGATTTCGCCAGCTAATGCGCCGGCCCGGCCCACCGGGAGAAAGCCACACGGGACTGGCGGAGCTGAGCTGCGCTGTGTTCTGTCGGCTGTGGCGTGTCTGAATGCTTTTTTGAATTGTTTGAACTGAATGAAGTGAATGTTTGAAAGGAGGGACCCGCGCGTCGGGCGCATCTGCATCATTGCGTCGGCGGGCTGCTGCGTGTTTTGCAGAGTGCTCGACGCAGCGCCGGCGACTGACACCGAACCTGTTAGTGAAAGCTTCAGAAAGTTGCGAGAAGTTTCCACGTTGACTGCAAGGGACACGAGCCCTCGGCTGCGAAAGATCGCCGTTTGCTGGCGCCGGGTCGGCTGCGTCGAGGCCGCGCGGCCAACCCCGCTGACGACGACGGCCGTTTGCTGCCGTGAAACTTCTGCCAACTGCGGTGCTTTAAGGACTGCGGCGCGTACATTTGCGTCGGATGTTGCAGAGTTGCTGTGCCGGCCTGATTTGAAACACGGGGCGGCAAAACTGCGAGTGTCAGGCCGATGTTGACGTGTCGGCTCCAATTGATAAAGGCACGTCTGTAGCGCTATCGTGGCTCGCTGCAGTGTAACCAAACTTCCAACATCCGGTCTGTCTCATTATTGCTGACATGGTCTGCCCTGTCCGGCCTTATCAGCGTGTGTATGCTCCTGGCGTGTCCAAGGTCTGGCCTGATCGTCCGAGAGGCGCTCCCCGTGTTGCACCGAGACCATCAGCGTCCAGTGTTGTTTAGCATGTGAACGCAGAGCTCCCGGTTTTTGCCCGCCACCGTCCCCGAATCGACCCTGAACTTAAGGTGCGGATGGACGGACGCCGCACACGAGAGCTCGTGAACCCGCTTCATTTGCACATTGCCTGCCGGAGTGCTGTTTGTGCTGTTGTTTGACAATGGTTGATAGGGCTTTCCACGGTGGTCTTTTGTCAAAACACGCCAGCAGCGCGTGTTCGCCGGCGCGCGTGTGTTTTTTGCTGTCTGGGAATGCGGGCGATCCGGTCCGTGTTTCTTTTGCCGGGTATGTCATTGGCTGCCTCACGACCCAGGCCCAGATGTAATACCGCGGCGGCCACTCCCACGTAGTGCCCGGCATCCTCCGTGAGTACAGCGCAGTCGGTCTGACTCGCCCGCGGGGCCTGTCCTTCGGTCTGCTTGCGTTGATTTAGAAGGAAATTCCTTTCGCAGTTGATGTCATGTGTGGATAGTCGATATCCCGAAGCTCAATAACCACGCCAGATGTCCGATGGTTCTGACCCGTGCCTCCGCGCGTCTGTTTCAGTTACCGGACGGGGTTGAGCTAACACTCTCTGAGCTGCGTGAGATGGCGGGCCGGCAGCAACAGCAGATAGACGAACACCAACAGCAGCTGGTGGCCAAGGAACAACGGCTGAAATACCTCAAACAGCAGGTGGGTGGCCGCTGCTGGTGGGCACGCGGTCCTGATGCGGTCACCGGTGCGGTCACTGATGCGGTCACCGCTCGTTCGGCTCGCCGCGGTCGGTGGCCCCGCGATAGTTCGTCGATGTGCGGCGGCTGCGCCTGAGGCGAGAAGGGAGCGGTGTGTGGTTTTGTCGGCGGCGCTTCCCATTCACTTCAGATTTGACACAGCTGATCGCATAAACCATCCTTATGCTGCAGACAGTTCTAAAGGTGTGCGTGATCTTTAGCAACAGTACTCACAGTTTGCCATGGTTTGGAAATGAAATATTGCAGCTGTTGTTATTTTGGTTTCTCGTGACGTCGCGAAGCAGATCAGCCCGTGTAGCTGAATCCAAAATTCGTTTGAAGTATTTTTATCTTAGACGATTGGCAAAAGCCATGAAACGAAGTTATTTTTACCTGGTGGGATTGGAAGGTTTTGGTAGGAATGAAGGACTTATTATAGCTGAAAATTGAACTAAATGCATATAAATTGCGTGGACCACTTTACAACAGCCTTCGTGCGCAAAATAAGATCTGATGGTTGTTGGACACGTATAAACATTGGAGTCAACGTGAAGAGTTGGCAGCACTCCTGCTCGTCCTGCGGTATCCGTTCAGCCCGGTTGCTTTCTGTCACATCCCACTGATGTCGGTGTGGCGAGTTAGCTGGGCCTGCCCCGCCCGCCAGTTGCGGGTGTCCCCCACCTCCGGTGTGCGATCTCGGTCTCTCCGGGCCCTCTGACTCCCGACGCCGACCGTAAATCATCGGACGGGGCCTGGCTGGCGGTCGGGTCCTGTTTTTACGGCCGGTCGGGATGCGGGCTGGGAAGCTGTCCGCCTCCCAGACCGCGGGAGAGTTCGGTCGGGCTGGGCCGCACGGTCCGCGCCCGGCACGACGCCCGTGAGAGTGCTGTCCACACGGAAGCGGAGGCAGGATTAGACGTCAGTGCGTGGCTGGGAGTACCAGGTGTTGGGGGAGATCAATGGGAGGTCATCAGTGTCATTTAGCATCGGACAACTAAACCACCGCCACCATCCACTCGCAGTTCATGAAGCGTATTGCTAGAGCGAGCGGCAGTGCCACCACCCCTTCCCAGCGCGGCCGTCGGTCTGCCGCGGTCTGCCGCGGGCTGTCGGGAGACGCTGCGCCGGCCGGCCATCAGCAGGCGCCGGGAGCAATCAGCGAGCGGCGCTGGGCGGGACAGCTCGCGCCGCCGCCGCCGCCGCCGCCGCGCCGCCAGCGGGGCGGCCTGCGCGACGTAGCGGGACGCTGTCGGTACGACTGCGGTGTTTGTGCGGCTCTGAGAGGGCGGCGTCAGAGGCAGGGCCGGCTCGGCGGCGGCCGGACGGCGGCTGTCGCTCACGAGCTCGGCTGGGCCCGCCCGAGCGGCATAGTCGGTTGAGATGGGGCGAGCTGACCTGTCGCCGACTGCCGAACCTCTCGCAGGCTCCACTGGCCGCCCTTGGGTCCTCCAGATTCCTTGAAGTTCCAAAAGAAAATGCCAGCGGGCTTTGCCGGGGGACCGTGACCCCAAACGATTCACAAAACACTTGTTCGGTGTCATACGACGCCCGGGGCCGATGCACTGGTGCGGTCCCCCTGACTTGGTCTGTTCCGGAGAATGTGCTAGGCACCCCAGCGTCTCCATTTGACAGCACACCCCACATCAGCGCTGGACTTGCCTGCGCACCTGTGCTAGCCTCCGTAGGTCATTCGCCCGGCGCTGCGGCGTCCTGGCGCAGCTTCACCTGACCGCGGTGACCTGCCGTTACCTATGATGGCGGCCGACGACACCGCACGGCGGTGCGGTCGGTGTTGGACGACGTGTCGGGTATGTGCCCCAGTCGTGCCGGCGTCTCTGAGGCGACAGATGGCGCGGGTAATGGCCGTACCCGTGGACAGTGCGCCGCCGACTGGACACTGTTGGACGGCGAGGCTGGGCCGTACCCGCGGACAGTGCGCCGCCGACTGGACGCTATTGGACGGCGAGGCTGGGCCGTACCACGCGGACAGTGCGCCGCCGACTGGACGCTATTGGACGGCGAGGCTGGTTGCTACGCCCGCGGCTGACCTGGCAGGTTTCAACACTGCATCAGATCCGCGCTGCAGTCATGGCTGCAAGTGTTAGAGGGTTGCGCTGCGAAAGTTGGCGTCAAGTTCGGGGCCATTTGCGCCATCTAAAGGCCCTCAAGATCCGCTTCGAAGTTGTCGCTGTATTGATGCTTGGAAAGGGAATCATTTAGGTCAGACGCAGAAACCTGCCGGAACGTTTCATATTTGACTGGTGCTCAGGCTGTTGTCGGGCTTTGACGGCAGGCTATGACTGTAACATCGGAATTTTATTACACGGACAAATTAGCGGACATTTATTGAATCTTTCATAAGAGAGGTAGTAGCACCTTCAGGCTGTTGTTCTATTCACGTTCTTCATTTGCAGTAGATTGTTTCATTTTATATTTTATGATATTTTGTTTTATATTTCGTGTTCAAATATCGCGAGTGTGTACCACGGCTGCCTGCCGGCTCCCTGCTGCCGGCTGCTGTCTCGGCTGCACCCGACTCGCCTGCCCCGCGGCTGTCCGCCCCGCTGTTGTATTCTTTCGGGCCTCGAAGGATGCGGCTCAACGGCGGCCGAATCTGTCGCGTGAGTGGCGAAAGTTTCCGATGCTAGACCACCCAAAGTGGGCAGACCTCCGACGACTGAGCACAGGTCACCGACGTCCGGCCTCCCTGAAGGGTGCAATGCGCCGACGGGCGGCCGCCCACCTGGGACGGGGGGGGGGGGGGTCACCGGGTGACCATGGCGCCGCTGGCCGTTATCGGTTGCAGGCGATGGATATGCTCGGGGCTGAGGACGGCGTGGTGGGAGCAGGCGGCTGTTGTCGTGCCTGTGCCGACCGACCCGCTGATGGACGGCCTCCTGTGCCGGCCCGGCCGGAGCGCCTCCCGTGCACCGTCGCCTGCCGCCAGGGCACCGGAGACGGCGGTTATGGTCACCGGGGGCGTGCGAGGGGTGCTGGGCCTCGGGGCACGGCACGTGCGTGCTGGGCCTCGGGGCACGGCACGCATGGGTGTTTGCGGTGTGGTTCTGCAAAGTAACGGCCACGCGGCCGTTGTTGGAGGCGGCCCACGTTCAGGCTCAATTTGTGAGGAATATAGGTCATGCTAGCGCTGCCCCTGTGGGTGAAATGAACTGCTGATCGATATGGCCCTGATGCGTCAGTGTGAGCCCGCTGACTGTACAGCCCATTGTAGGCAAGCCCGCCATTTCCCTTAATATGGCCGACATTTACAACCTCGAGTTTTCACAAACTGAAGACAGGAAAAACAGCACACACGATTGTAAATTTCCAGGAAGAGCAGCTCGCAAACAATTCCGCTCGCGGGCCTAGCCAGCAAAAAAGTCCAATTCAAAAGAAGGATCCGTTATCCCACATAACTGGTCTTATCGCTTCTGACATGTGTTAGCTGCTTCTGCTGATAACCTGAAAAACACGACACGTTTTTTCTTCCATGTCCAAACTTGTCCTATTGACTAATGGCCCATGGCGCCACATGACACGGTGTCAGCCCGTCTTTACAGGCCCATGGCGTCGCATGCTATGGCGCGAGCCGGCTGGTGCGGGCTCCCGCGTCCGTTTGCGACAAACAGCTTGAATCTGCCGGCTGGCCGCTGCCGTCGCCACACGTCGGTCGATGGCTCAGTCCCGGCAACAGCAGGCGGCATCGAACTGGCGGCGCCGTTTCGGCGTTGGCCTTCGTGTACCTGGCACCGTCCCCGGGCCAACAGAGCCATCGATCCTTCAGTGGGAGCGGCCGGTCGGCGGGAGGCGAGGCGGCGATCTTGTCCGCCGCCTCGCGGGCCGGTCCGACGCCAGTCCGCCGACCGCCGCCGGTCCGACGCCAGTCCGCTGCGGCGGCTCAGGCACCAGCAGACGCCGGCTCCTTTCTTTGCTGATGTCGGATGTAACAACGCGACTGCTTTCCTGTGTTCGCCATTAGCAGACTTCGCGGCCACTCCGTCCAAAACCGGGCAGCTGACACCCCGCGAGGGCGTTTATTGGACGTTTTTCGTTCGCGGTTAGGCTGGACGGAACCTGCCCCGTGTCTGCTCCCTTATTTAGTGTGGCAATAAGAGGTCGGGGGCGTAATAAAGAGCGCCCCGTGCTGACCCGCGCGAGAGGCGATCCCGCCGCGCCGCACGCCGAGGGAGGTCCAGCCGGGGTTTCCGCGGGGTGCTGCTGCCGCGGCGTATATTGCCTCGGGACGGGGGCGGAGAAAGCGTTGCGGTCCCAGCCGCCCCTATGCATTGAATGGTGCCGTGCGGTCCACCCTCAAATAGGGACACCACTTGTGATCGTTGCCATTCTCGGCTAACTCGCAATGCTTGGTTTATCCGCACATTTACTCACGACAGCAGCAATAACAAAAACAGGAACAGTGGATTCAATGTGGTGAATATTCAAGTGATATTCACTTGAATATTCGCTACATTATATATATATATATATATATATATATATATATGTATATGTATATATAGATGTATATAGAATATTCAAGTGATGCGCTCAAAATATCAAACGGCTGTACTTTCAGCATAATCATAGGCGTCTTGCCTTTGCAATTATGAGGTATTACTCAGCCGCTCAGTGGGCGGTAATGGTCGAGGGGTTAGCGCGTTGGATTCCCACGCAGGAAGCTCGCGCTAGAATCCCGGTGGGGCCGTGGCCACTAAGCGCTCATATTGCCGATCCAGTCGCCCGCGCTCTATAAAAAAGACATGACGGCGTGCTGCCTGTTCTGCAGACAAATATATCTGGCGCTCACTCTAGCTCGTCTGTCGAGCACACTCCACCGACTGGGTCCCAGCCGTGCGCAGTCCGAGCGGGCGGGTCCGTCCGCCGCACCCGCCGTCCGGCCCAGAGCGCCGCGGGGTAAACAGGCCGCCACCCGGCGTCGGCGGTCGGCGTGGGGCCGATGCGATCTGCCTTCTCCCGGCATACGCCTCAAGCTGGCCCTCATCCTCCCGGCGCTCCGGGCCGGCGGGCCGCGATACACCTCCAGCCGGCCCTCATCCTCCCGTCATACGCCTCAAGCCGGCCCTCATCCTCCCGTCATACGCCTCCAGCCGGCCCTCATCCTCCCGGCGCCCCGGACCGGCGGGCCGCGATACACCTCCAGCCGGCCCTCATCCTCCCGGCGCTCCGGACCGGCAGGCCGCGATACACCTCCAGCCGGCCCTCATCCTCCCGGCGCTCCGGACCGGCGGGCCGCGATACGCCTCTAGCCGGCCCTCATCCTCCCGGTGCTCCGGGCCGGCCTGCCGGCCCTCATCCTCCCGGCGCTCCGGGCCGGCGGGCCGCGATACACCTCCAGCCGGTCCCTATCCTCCCGACGCTCCGGGCCGGCGGGTCGCGATACACCTCCAGCCGGCTGCCGGAGCGGTGATGTTCGGAGAGCGGTTTGGGAATGCGTGCACAGGATACTGTACAGTAGTATGGCGGCATGGCTCGTGGTTTGTCATGTCAGGAGAGTTACGATCGTGAGGAGTGTCGCCTCTGGGTGAATGTGTGGACCATGGCCACACAGTCACCCAGAGGCAACACTCCTCACGACCGTAACTCCCCTGACATGACAAACCACCAGTCGAAACTGTGATGCACTAGAGACGTGGGAGGTACAAACTTCATGGTTTTGGACCGCTTAGAACCTTGCCTGACGACATGTGGGGCTTTCAGAGGCATGAATAATGAATAATCCTTAAAATATTGTCCAGTTTGGTTGCGCGCACATGTGTATGGATACAGCACCTTTTTAGCGGGCATGAGACCGTTTGTTTTCGTGGTTTTAGGCCTGGCAACATGTCGCCTATTTCCAGCGTCAGGCTCACGGCGTATTATTGAAGGTTTGCAATGGCTGTACGTCGCTCCTACAAGTCAAACATTGCGAAGCTCGCTCCGGAATGTGTGCGGCGCCTGTTTGATTAGTTTGCGCCGGGCAGGAGCGTGCCGTATTTTCCGGCAGCGTTGGACGATCAGCCGAAGACCGATCGGTGGTTCGTCCTGGCTGAGCGGGGCGCGCGAGCCGGCGCATATTCCAGTAAAACCTCCTAACTCCCGGGAGACAGGTCGGCGGGACGCGTTCCGTCTGAAATACGAGCCGAGGGCATTGGGAGAGCCGTTAGCTTTTTCGTGATAAATCATGCAGCTCTCTCGGTTGAGGCCGTGTGTATCGGCCGGATGCCGGATCAGGGCGACGGACACCGTATTTTCGCCAAGCCCGCCGAGACGTATCTTAAATGTTGGAATGCTCAGGCCAGCGATAGCATTAGCGCGAAATCTCTCTTCTCCTATGTGGTGGTGTCCATAACCGACCGAAATAGCTCATGCCCAGCAAAACCGCCAGCTGTGCTCAATGGTGTAGTGGCGGCGAATGTCGCATTTGCTGGAGATGAAACTCGTGCTATGGAACCCGTTCGGTGCCATGGAACACATTCGGTGGCGCGGAACACATTTGGTGTCCTGACCCCTGCGCTCGACTGCCCGACGCCGGGGCAGCCTGACGTTTTACGTGGAGGGCTTTGGAATCTTTTGCGGACAGCTGTAGCTGACAAAACAGAATCCACATCTTGAACAACAGTGACGGTTTTCCATCGAAGCGTTTAGCTGTTAAACAGTCCGCGTTACTACTTCTCAGGCGGGTTGCCAAATTATAATCGTGACGCCCTGTGTAGATTAGCAGTGACCTCCGGACCGCTCTTGGCAGCTGATCGGGCAGCCCGTGACCCGAACCCTGCCCGGCATCTGGGCTCGCCGTAACCTCGTCTGACCTCTGACCTCGCCCGCAGGAGAGCCGCCATCAGGCGATGAACTCGGAGACGGAGCGGCTGCGGCGGCTGCGCGAGCGGGTGGAAGCGCAGGAGCTGAAGCTGCGCAAGCTGCGCGCCCTGCGCGGCCAGAGCGAGCAGCAACGCGTCAACAACAATGCCCTGAGTGAGTGCGGCGACGCTGCCGGCGCTGCTGATGTGCTACCGGGACGGGGCAGGTGATACCACGGCACCTACCTGTAGCGTCAACACGACACTGGGGGGGGGGGGGGGGGGGCGGGTGACGAGATCTGCTTCAAGATGGTAGTCGCTCTGCCGTTTGTGCGGACAATTTTAGTTCAAACGACCACTGCCGCTTTGGTGGCGTTCAGTGCTTTATAGCTTTTAATTCGGCCCGGAGTACTCTTGCGATTGGAAGCGGTCGTCGTTCCGTGCCATTTCGAGCCGTCTCATTCGTCCTAGGTCTGGGAAATTCCCGCGCTGGGTGCTCGGCCGCCGGGCCGCCGGGCGCGTCTTGTTTTTTGCCCGTCGTGTCGCCGCGAGTCGAGGTGAGGGGGCGTTGAACTGTCTCAGCCTGCCGCGCCGCCGCCGCGCGTCACGCGGCGCCTCGGTTTCGACGCCGTGGGTTCCGGAAAGCGGTCGCGGCTGTGCCTCCGCCGCCCCCCGCCCCCGCCGCCTGTCAGGACCCGCGGGGGGGGATCGGGGCGGAGGCGATGTGTGGGGGGGGGGGGGACGGCGCCGCCGTGAGGGGATCAGTGCTGGGGCCGCTCAGCTCCTGGCTGATTGCCGCCCGCCGGTATTACGGGAGGCTCGCTGAGGAATTGGGGCTTGGCGTCATCAGTTATCGGGCTGCTCCCCCCGGTGAATGGCGCCGCTCGCCCCGAGTGGGCAGCCGTCGTGTCCAACGCGAAGACAATCAAGCGGTTTGGAGAAGAAGGGCCCATTCCGGCTGGCAGGGAGCCGCCCAATCGTCGTTGACCGCATTGACGAAGCGATCCGTTTAGCGGGCCTCATTTCCAGTGTGATGGCATGTCTCGAGCAGTCCCAACCGATGAATGCTGGCAAGGCGAGAAATGGGATGTCGCGCCGTGACGTGCTCAGCCGTTCGCAGTGGCCCGCTGCGCTCTCCCACGCGCCGGGGGCAGGCCCAGCGCCCGGTGCCGGCGGCCTCATTGCCGGCTCGCTCGCGGAATTCAATTAAAAGTTGAATGTCTTCTGGAACAGCTTCGGAATGAGTGATCAGTCAGAAGTGCCGCGTCTGGACGTGGCCGTCGTCCGGCAGCGGCGATCAAAGTGGCTGTGGACGTCCTCTTCCGTCCGGTCTAAAGGCAGGAACCGAACGGACGGCCAGCAAGGCCCGCACCACGCTCCGAGGTCGACTGTGGGACAAAGCGTGCTGACTCGTTAAACAGACACGTGCTTTTGGGCAATCCCTGCAGTCCCGTCTCTGCAATCGCGTCGGGTAACGTTTTGGAATAGTCTCTTGCGCGTTTTCGACGGCTTCGACGGTTTAAGGTGCGTCACTTCACAGGAGCATTACTTAAGCTCACTGTGCGGCACTCTTCATGCCGTACAGCTCCTTTCATCCCCGCTTACCAGGAGGCCGTGCGACGATGGACCGGTGGCGCGCCGCGCTGACCGTGCCGGGCGTGCAGGTGCCGGTCACCGCCGCTGTCGACCGTGTCCCGCCATTAATTAGCTCGGTCGGCGTGCGTCAGCGTTAGCGGGCGCGGGCTGAGCCGGCCCAGCCATTCTCACGCGCCTTGCCCGTCCGCCGCGCATCAGGCAATCACCATTAGACGCGGCAGGGCCGGCCGCCGGATCAGCCGCCGGGTCAGCGCCGGGTCAGCGTCGGGTCAGCGTCGGGTTAGTGCCGGGTCAGCGCCAGGATAACGCCTGGTCAGCCTCCGGGTCAACGCCGGGTCAGCGCTAAGTTAGCACGAGGTCAGCACTGGGTCAGGGGGCAGTCCCTTCGGTCGCGCGGGCCGCTTACACGTGACTGACAAGTCTGTGAAAGCCACCACGGGTGATGACAGACAGACAAATGACAGACAGATGGTGGCAGCATGTCCGCAGCAGAATGCGGTGCCGTTAAGAAGCGCGCAATGGTGCCGGGCGGCTGGGATGGAGGCTGACCTCACGCGCCGACCTCCTGACATTCGCACCTCTCTGGATCGGTGACGGCCGAACACCTCGCGAGCAGGGGTTCGGTGATTGGCTGCTGCAATTTTAAGCGGGGTCGCGTTCGGTTCTGGTGTGCTTCGTGATGGGACGTCTCAACGGCAGCAAGAGGGTCGCCCAGGCCTGTCCGTTCTTATTTGCTTACCTCTTGAGACTAACGGATGGCGTCGAGGGGTTCGCCAGGCAGTTTGGCGGCGGCGAGCCAGCTGAGCGATCCCGGAGCGCGGAGAGAGGTATTCAGGCGGCATGACAGTGTGTGGGGTAAAGTTCACGGAATTACATCCTGCTATGGAAGGGCTCGTTGCTAGTCATCAGAGCGGCTATGGGTTATTTGGAACGCTTAAGACGGGGTGAACGGCATACTTCTACGCTGCAGCATTTCACCTTCCGAGCCTGTGGGAGCCCCCTTCGGTAATTATAAAAAAACTGTGCGTCAAGGGGTAAATGTCTTTCTCGCTGGTCACTCATTCTGGTTGCGTATAGCGACAACCTGTGTGTTGTTTGCCCGTACCTGATGGTGGGACCTCTCAAACAGTCGAGCTGTCATCCGTCCCTGATGGTGGGGCCTCCTCAGAAGTCGGGTTGTCGTCTGACCCTGGTGGTGAGGCCTCCCCGGCAGTCGAGCTGTCTTCTGTCGCTGGTGGTGGGGCCTCCCCTGCAGTCGAGCTGTCGTCTGTCCCTGGTGGTGGGGCCTCCCCAGCAGTCGGGCTGTCGTCCGTTTTTGGTGGTGGGGCCTCCCCGGCAGTCGGGCTGTTCGTCCGTCCCAGGTGGTGGGACCTCCCCGGCAGTCGAGCTGTCGTCGTCCGACCCTGGCAGCCGTGGGGTCTCCCCGGCAGTCGAGCTGTCGTCCGTCCCTGGTGGTGGGGCCTCCCCGATAGTCAAGCTGTCGTTCCCTGGTGGTGGGACCTCCCCGGCAGTCGAGCTGTCGTCCGACCCTGGTGGTGGGGTCTCCCCGGCAGTCGAGCTGTCGTCCGACACCGGCAGCCGTGGGGCCTCCCCGGCAGTCGAGCTGTCGTCCGACACCGGCAGCCGTGGGGTCTCCCCGGCAGTCGAGCTGTCGTCCGACCCTGGCAGCCGTGGGGCTGCTTCCCATCCCAGACCGGCCGGCTCTCGGCGGCCGTGGAGCTGCCACAGGCGCCGCCTCCGCAGCCGCCGCGGCGCCGCGGCCCCAGCCTGCCGTCACCGCTCTGACGGATAGGGCGCAGGGCGGACCGCCACGTCCCACCGCCGACGCCTGGGCGAGCGATGTCGGGCGGTCGGCCCTGATCTGCTGGCGGCGGCCGCCGCGCCCTGGGGACTGCCGTCCGTTCGGCTGGCGCAGTGGGGCTGGGCGTGACGTGACGTGACGCAGTGGGGCTGGGCGTGACCTGACGTGACGTGACGCAGTGGGGCTGGGCGTGACGTGACGTGACCAGTGGGCTGGGACGTGACGTGACGCAGTGGGGCTGGGCGTGACCTGACGTGACGGCGAGATGGCGCGGGCGAGGGCCAGAGGGCGAGCTCGGGGTCGGCGCGCACGGGCAGACGCTTGGGCCTCGCTGCGTGCCATTTTCCCATTCGTTCCTTCACCTGCGTGGTGGGTTTGGGTCAGGAGATGGAGCCAACGAATAGCAACGGACATCGCCCGCGCGCTTGTTGATGCGACGTTCATCAGCGTAGAGGGAGGGTGGTCACCAGGAGAACAGTGAAATCACGCGGTTCATCACAAAATCATCGCAGCCTTTGCTCCGGGCTGTCGACCGTCGCCCATGTTGGAATGTGAGCCCACGTGGCCCCTGTGGTTGTTGCACGGGTAAGTCCCTCGCAGAGGTGAGCCCAAACATAACGATGACGTTAAGAGGAGACCTGCTTTGATTTGTGATGGTGACGTCAGTCCTCTGAAGTTTGTCAAATGCCCTCTCGCCGCAGACAAGGTTGTTCCGTGCCTGCTGTGTAAGTGGGTGGCTGACAAACGGCACCTGCAGGCCGGGGCAAACGGTCCGCAGCGGCCGGATGCCATGGTTGTTCCGTGCCTGCTGTGTGACTGGGTGGCTGACAAACGGCACCTGCAGGCCGGGGCAAACGGTCCGCAGCGGCCGGATGCCATGGCATCGATCACATCTGTCCAACCTTTTATGTGCCTCGCGAGACATTTGCGGAATGAGTCGCCAAGCATGGGCGACCCGCTGGCGGCGGCAGGTGGCGTCAGGCGGCGACGGTCACCCCCTTGATCGCCCCAGGACTCTGGCGCGCTCTGGCACGGCCACTCCGGTCTCTTCGTCGAGCGGCACTGCTTCGCAGGCTGAACCCGGAATAGGTTCGACCCGCGCGTGATAGCTGGCGCGTCCCAGCCCTGGTCCCGGTGCGTTAAACTCGTCGGCGAGCTGTGAGAGGCGATCTGCGCATTGGCTGGCGTCCGGCTGTCTCGATGGCTTGTGCGTGGGATCAACGGGCTTACGTGCGCCAGGCTCAGGTCTCTTTCTCGCCGATATTGCCATAGTCCAGGATCAATGCTGGCTATAGCCTGCTGGCAGATATGTTTCTAGCGGAGGCCGGTGCCTGTCCCCAGGCGGAAATGAGCTCAAGGACCTGAAGGACCGAGACTTCGAAACTCTCCAGGGTCCATTGAGCTCACTCAGCACATAGGTGAACGATTCCGCGAAAGCATTAGCGAGGGCTTCATCGTGCAGACAGCGGGAAATTGTATCGCAGAGCTGTTCAGAGAGAACGGCCCTCGAACGACGGCAGTTGAACGTTGGCGCTCGCCCAACGACGGCAGCTGAACGTCGGCACTCGCCTAACGACGGCAGCTGAACGTCGGCACTCGCCCAACGACGGCAGCTGAACGTCGGCACTCGCCTAACGTCGGCAGCTGAACGTCGGCACTCGCCCAACGACGGCAGCTGAACGTCGGCACTCGCCTAACGTCGGCAGCTGAACGTCGGCACTCGCCTAACGTCGGCAGCTGAACGTCGGCACTCGCCCAACGACGGCAGCTGAACGTCG